GGAAATCCCCTCCTTGTTGGCCAGTCTCTTGGATAACCGTCCTTTCTGGGGAGACTGGGCTGGAGGTGGCATTATCGCTGCTGTTAGTCTGATCCCATTTCCTAAAAGCCAAGACCATGCACACAAGGGTGAGAGAAAAGAGCAGCAACAATAGAAAATGCAGCTTCTGTCTCTGGGGTTAACTCTCGCTTGCAATCTCACTGCTGGAGAAAAATTGCCTAGGGAGGTTGTGGAATCTCCATCTCTGGAGATATTTAAGAGTAGGTTAGATAAATGTCTATCCGGGATGGTCTAGACAGTATTTGGTCCTGCCATGCGGGCAGGGGACTGGACTCGATGACCTCTCGAGGTCCCTTCCAGTCCTAGAGTCTATGAATCTATGAAATACAGGCCCAGCGCACAGTCTGATCAGCCACTCGGAGGCCAAGCTTGTACCCACGTCGGGCTCTTCGGGGCACTGCTTTTCACTGCCTCCTTCTGGTCACAGTCTCACAGCAGTGTTGCAAAATATCCAGTCTTGTCCATCTAAGCCAGACTCTTATTAGACACAAGGCAAAAGGAGCAGTGGGGGCAAAAAACCACATTTCCTGGTGCCCTGCGCAGCTGTGTGCTGCTCCAGCCCCTGCCCTGCCTCTTTTTCCCCCATGGCCCCTGCCCCTACTTGGCCCCAGCCCCACCCCGCCTCTTCCCGCCCCTGCTCCGCCCCCGCCCTGCCCCTACTCCCCAGAGGACTGCTGCAGGGCTCGGGGCTGCACTCATTGCGTGGTAAGTGGAGCGACCTGGCCCCAGCCTGCTCCGCTCCCCTGGCTCCCAGCCGCGCCGCCGGGAGTACTGGGGGATGCTAGGTAGGGAGGGCTCCTGGATCTTCATTTAAAAAAAAAAAAACCTTCCAGTTCATTAACCCTGTCCCAAATTCCTCAAACACTATAGCAGGGGTAGGCAACCTATGGCACGCGTGCCGAAGGCGGCGCACAAGCTAATTTTCAGTGGCACTCACACTGCCCAGGTCCTGGCCACCAGTCTGGGGAGCTCTGCATTTTAATTTAATTTTTAAATGAAGCTTCTTAAACATTTTTAAAACCTTATTTACTTTACGTACAACAATAGTTTAGTTTATATATTATAGACTTATAGAAAGAGACCTTCTAAAAACGTTAACGTGTGTGACTGGCACACAAAACCTTAAATCAGAGTGAATAAATGAAGACTCGGCACACCACTTCTGCAAGGTTGTCGACCCCTGCACTATACTATGCCCCTCGATACTGTTCCTATACCGCACTTATTGCTGTAATAGCGGAGTGTTACTGGTAGCGCATTAAGCAACCTGACTAACAGCTGTCGTGTTTGGTGGTCTAGTCCCTGCAAATTCGCCCTGATCCAGCTTGAGACCAACACCTCCACAGCTGGCCCAGCTACTCGGGAGGAGGCTGGAACCACTGGTGAACTGTGTTCCCTTGTATCTCTCCGGAACCCACCCTGTATTCTCACTTCTACCCTCCCAGTTTCCTGGAGGTGCTGGCAGATCCGACAGACGCTGTCTCGATGTGGGATCTACCCTGTAATTGCAGTGACCCGGGCCTCAGCTAGGCTGTGCCTTCGGTGAGGAGAGGCAGAAGCAAACCATACAATGGAGATCACCTTACATTTTAAACTCGATAAAGGAAATACCCAGGCATTTGGCAGGAACGGGACTAGACTAGAGATAATAGACTATAAAGTAACATCATAGACTCACTCAGCAAAATAATAAACTGTAAATGACTTTGCAATACGACGCTTTTCAACACCAGGCTGTGTCACCCCTAGAGGGAATCAAAGCCCAGTTCCACCCCAGCCATCCCACCTTGGCGCGTCTCTGGCTTGCGATGCTCCAGCAGGTCTGCCCGCGATTGACAGTTCCTCCCCATTCTAAGCTGCTGCCCCGCAGCTCCAGCAGGGCTCCTATGCTGGCTCTGAATCCTCTCTGCCCCTCTCTGCCCAGAGGCCAACCTGGCGCTGTTCCTGGCCTATCAGAACCAGACAGCCTTGTACTACGACGAGCTGATGGGGAAGCTGCACAGGATGAACCAGAGCCTGGGCCTGGTGCTCTACGCCGTGGATCACATGCAGAGCAGCGTGGAGGGCCGGCTCCTGCACATCCAGAGATTCATTGGCTGGGCAGGTGACTTGGGGGTGGGGGCAACATGCATCTCAGGGCAGCAAGGCGCTGAGCAGCCTCCTCCCACCCGAGTTCGCTGGGCTACACGCCGCTCGGTGGCTGTGCGCTGGGAACTGGCCAGCCAACGGATTGGTTCTCTGCATGCAGCACCGCTGGGGTGGGCTCCACAGCCCAGCTCTGAGTGCTGGGGAGGCAACTGCTCCCAGCGCCTAGGTGGGAGGAGACTTGTGCTACCGAACAGCGACTCCGGGCTTCGAAGGGTGTCTGACTGCCCGCTGCTCAGCGGGATGGAGGTGGCCGGTGAATAAGGCAGCATACAGCCTTTCTCCTCCCTGCGCTCAGAGACCTGGATTGGAGCCCTGGGCTTGGTCTCCTGCTCTCCTCCCCAGCTGGGGCTGCACAGAGCCTCCAGGCCCTTGCCCCATGCTCCCTGCACAGCAGACGAGGGAGTTTGAGGTGTCATGGGGAAGGGTGGGAGAGACATTTGCAGGAGCAGACTCCCCTCTGTCCGATCGCAGGGCCTGAGCCGCTTGCCCCCTGGTGTGGGAGGGTCCCAGCCCGGAGAGGATACGACGGGAGTGGGTGTCAGAGGCTGGCGGGAGTAGCAATGGAATGTGCAGGCTGCTGCGTGGGCAGGTCCTGTGGCAGAGATGCCGCCTACCCCTCGTTAATTATCTTAGTGGTGACCTCCCCTCCCCCACAAACCCTGGGCGAAGCTGGGCAGTGTCGTGTTCTCCCTCCCCTCCCGGACTTGGGAACGTTGCAAGGAGGAGACGTCTCTCCCCAGGCCACGCCGCTGGCAGGAACCAGCCGGGAGTTAGCGCTGGTCTGAGCGTGGATCTGTCAGGAGGCAACGCGCCCGCTGGCCCGTCTCCCCATCCCTCTCTCTGTCTCGCAGGAGTCAGTCTCGGCGCCGCCTGCACCTGCGTCCTGCACGCCGGCTACTTCCTGCTCTCGGCTCTGCTCATGACCTTCCTGCAGACCCCAGGCCTCCCCCGCGCCGTGCTCCTGGTCCTGGTCATCGCCAACGCGCTCTCCGAGCTCAACCACGCCATCTCCCTGGGCTTCAAGTCCCTCACGCTTTTCCTGGTGCTCGTGGTCGCCGGTGAGTGCAGCCGGCTCCCCCTCTCTCCCTGCGCTGGCTTCTCTGTATCGCTGGAACCAGGACCCGACCTGGCACCGGTGGCCCACCCCCAGGCAGCCTCAGCAGGGAGGCCAAGGGCTGAATGGGCTCTGGAGACAGAGCCCCGCTCGGGAGTGGGCTCGCGAGGTGGGGACATGCCAGCGCAGAGTGTAGGGAGAGTTTGCCCTGCCATTGGCCACACTCGGGTAAACAGGCCTGAGTCGTCAGGCTGTCCATGAGCTAGACCATTGACCGCTCCTGTGGCCGCTGGTGCCGTCAATTTCAACCACCCCCTGACCTTTAACGCTTGCGTTGTCCAGCCACCGGAGGGGGACAAAGCCAGCCTGTCAGCTTGAGTCACACTTGCCAGCTAATCTCCTCCTCCCACCAGCCTGTGCTAACTCCCACAGCCCCCTGTGAGGTAGAGCCAAAGGGAGTCAGTGGTAGCACCAGAATTAGCCCCCCGGCGCCCTGACCCCCGGCTCTGAGCAGGTAAGTTTTCCTCCAACAAAATATTGAATCCATACGTCCGTCAGCCCGCTCCCCTGGCTCACCTTCTGTGCTAGCCGGACGCTGCTCTGAATTTGACCCCAGCTCTGGCTTTGCTCACGTTTTTGTAGGTAACTGGCTGCTGGCGAGCGTGTGCTGCTGCGCCCGGAGCGTGAGGGGCCGGAAGCCGCCTCTGGCGCTCTCGCTGACTCCCCAGAGGGCACCGGGGGCCAGCAGCCCCGAAGCAGAGCTCAAGGATGATCCCCGCTGTCATATCACCTCCACCCCTGACAGGTAGGAGGAGGCAGGTGGGACCAGCACATGGGGACCTGGGTCTAACCAAGGTAAATCTGGAGCCCTGTAGGGGATACTGCAGGGGACAACAGGTTCATGGCCAGATGTGCCCATTTAACAGCCTTCCCTCCTCAGGTCTCTGCTAAGGTCACTTCAAACGCCCTCTGATCACACATTAGTGGAGGGTCCGGATTCGCTAACTAACTCGACTGTACATGCTATGTGCTCTCGAAAGCCGGCCTTGTTTCAAGGCTGGTGTCAGGTGCCAGGAAGGGTTTGTGGCCCTGTTTTCACATGAGGCCCGGGGTTGTCCGTTGACTCAGGTTACAGCTAATCCCAGGGGAAGAGGCTGGTAGTGAGTGCCTGGTATTTATATAGCATCTCACCCTCCACTCTCCCTGCCCGCCGTGGGGGTCTGTGTGCAGTGGGGTGGGGGCATCCAAACCATACCCGGCTTGATGTGGGTCGGTGTGTTCTGTGTCGGGATTTACACCACATCCTCTGGCTGTTCAGATGGGGAAACCGAGGCACGGGTCGTGCAGTGACTCCGTGGCAGAGCCAAGAATGGAACCCAGGAGTTCCCTGCAGCAGGAGCACCCAGGCCTGTAAGGTGCAGAGTCCGTCTGTGTTAGCCTGGGAAACTGCCCAGCAGCACCCCAGAGCCTCCAGCCCTGCGGGCCAACATGGTGCACAGAGGCTGGTTTGCTTGCCGCCATGCTGCTGTCTGGCCTCCGGGGAGCACAAGTGCTGCTATAGTAGCGGGCACCAGCCCCAGCATCCTACCAGCAGGAAGGAGTGAACACCTGTCACCATGGTGGCTGCAGAAGGGGTGCGCTGGTGCCGAATAGCCTCTGGGTGGCAGCAGAGCGCTCCCCCTGCAGTACCCCTTCTGCATGGGGGTTCCCAGTTGGGTCCTAGGGCAACCCCAGGTTAAGCCCATGCTTGGCTGCGTTAGCTGCATGTTACACCAGCTGTCCAGCACATGCCTTGAGTCCTACGTCTGCGTGCAGCTCAAGGTGCGGGTGCTGGTGTAGGAAGCCTGGTATGGTTTGGCTGCCCCCACAGGTATCGAGGACCAAATCTTCCCGTGTGTGGCCAGGCCAGCTGGGATGCTTGTGCACATCTAGGTCTAGTGTGTCCTCTCCTTGGGGCGGGGCGATCTGGCTCTGGATCTCTCTTCCCCCATTCTACACCCACTGGTCCGGCAGGATCAATCTCCCATGGAGGCGGGAGGCCCACCTCTACTCTTCCAGCTGTGCCCTGAAGGGGCTGAGGATTGGGCATGTGTCTGGGGCAAGTCTGCTCTTCGTTGTTCTTGCTCCAGGTGCTGTCGCCTAATGCTCACGCGCCCAGGGACACCTCTTCTGAAACTTACAAACTGATGCACATAGAAGATGACGAGGAGGACGAGAGAGATCATAGAAGATCAGGGTTGGAACAGACCTCAGGAGGTCATCTAGTCCAACTCCCTGCTCAAAGCAGGACCAATCCCCAACTAAATCAGATGCTTGGTGCAGAGAGGGCTCGGGCCATCTGGTCTGTAGGGGACATGTGCCCCTGGCCAGGACCTCCCTGCAGCTTCATGCTCTGAAGGGTGGGAATGGGGCAGGGGCTTAGCTGGGCAGGACTTGGGGTGAAACTTCGTCGGTGATGGAATCTTGTAACCTTGCATCCTTCCCCTGGCAGGGAGTGTGAAATCGGCCTCTTACGGGAAGAGCTGAACCAGCTGGAGGAGATGAGCTACCTGCAGGGTAAGTGAGATGAGAGTTCAGTATGGAGGGTATCTGAGGAACATGTTGCTGCGTGCCAGAGCGCTGCAGCAAACCCCGCTCCGCCTTGGGGCACCCTGGGGATGCTGCGTCTGAAGAGAGCAGATCCCTGTCTTTGGCTGGCTGGGAGCTGGGGTGAACGCTGCAAGGAACAAGCAGTGTGTCCAGAGCACTAGTATCTACCCGCCCTGTCGATGCAAGACCTGATCCCTATGGGAGAATCACCCCCACCTCCGCGGGGAGCTTGGACACCCAGTCTGTAGCGGGACCTGCACTCAGCATGAATACCTTAAATAATAACAATGAATGCCTGTTTCTTACCTAGCGCATTTCCGCCGTAGATCTCCAAGCGCTTCACAAACTCTAAACGAATCTATCCTCACGCCTGCGTGGCAGGGAAGCATTGTTATCCCCATTGTACAGATGGGAAACTGAGGCACAGAGGAGGCTTAAGTGACTTGCTGAAGGAAGCTCACAGCAGAGCTGGGGCCTGAACGCCGGCCTCCCATGTCCTAAGCCGGTGCCCTAACCACTGGACCTTCCTTCCCCCTCCTTGGCTTAGGCAGCTGGGATGCTTAAAGCTCCCTTAGTGAGACTTCTCTCTGCTGCTCATCATAGCATGTCGGCTCTGCAGTATCCAGAGGCCACAGCATCTCCAGCTGAGCCGCGGTGGGGACGTGGCACGAACTCCTCTAAGGCTGGGGACAGCATCGGGGGTGTGCCAGGCCCGTGTGGCTGGAGAGCTGTACGCACAGGGGCTGTGCTGTAGCAGGTGGGCTGGGGTAGGGAGGCTTAAAGCCATAGGCGCGCTCCTGGGGCTCCAGCGTTGAATGACTCAGCCTGTCTGTGGGCGCAGGAGCCGGGTACTGGAGGGAACTGGTCAGGCGGCCCAGTGTATTCGCTGTGCTAGCCATTAATGTGTTGCAGACGACTCCTGCCTGGGGAGGGCGCCCCCGCTGACGGGAAACCCCTTTCGGGCTGGGGCCGTGCCGCTGCCCCCTACAGGCTGGAAGGCACAGCAGAGATCCGCTGCTCTGCCGGCTCCCTCCGTCCCCATCGGGAACTTGCGCCGTGTCAGTCTGAGCCGCACCACCAGGCACGAGGTGTTGGAGAGGCAGGTAAGTGGTGGGAAGTTGGCACGGCTGTCATGGGAAAGTGTGCAGGGGCAGGGCTGGCACTGCCCATTGTGGGGCACTGGGAGAGGCAGGCAGGAGAGTAGGGGTGGGACCGGGGCTGCCCCACGTGAGGCTCGGGGAGAGGTGGGTAGGAGTGTGGGGACAGGGCTGACTCTACCTGCTGTGGGGCTCAGGGAGAAGTGGGTAGGAGAGTGGGGGCAGGGCCGGCGCTGCCCACCGTGGGGCTCGGGAAGAGGCGGGCAGAAGTGTGTGTGTGTGGGGAGGGGGGGGAGACATTCAGCAACAGGTGGGTCCTGGCAGCTGATCCTGGTTCTCTCACTGCTGGGGAGCTTGTCTTCGTCCTCCTCAGTGCCACATGTGACTCCCTCTTTCCCCGACAGGCCACACTGGAGAGGCGCCACCTGGGCCCCGCGTTCGAGCCCTTTTCTGACTTCAGGTCCTGTAGCCTGGACCAGTCCATGGCTAGCGACATGTGAGTATAGAGCGCTGCTCCCCTCTCTGAACAGGCTGCGCCGGATTCCTTCTGCGCAATGCTTCACTGATCCCTGCTGGCTTGGCGCTGGCATCCCCAAGGGACGCTTTTGGGCTGGGTTATTCCTGCTAGTAACCGGCCCTGCCTCTAAGACAAGGGGTGACTGATGTCTAGGGCGAGGGTGGCCTGACCTACGTGATGGGAGGAGGAGAGGAATGCTGCAGACACGTTCTGGGCGACAGTTGTCCCATGGCTCCTGGTTTTACTCCTGGGGGAATTCTGTACCGAAAAATTAAAAATTCTGCACACGATATTTTAAAATTCTGCATATTTTTTGTCAAAATTACACAATATAATCAAGCTGGTTTCAATTATTTTGATAGTTTTATTTAAACTACAGTACAATGAATGGAGAGTGGGAGTGGGGAGCACTGGAGGAAATCACCAACCCCCCTGTTTAATAGTAACGTAGCTAATGTTGAACCTTTACTTCTAGTTATTAGTCGACAAATATATGCAGCCATATGCTCAGGTTTGCATCATAGGCAACTGAAGAGCAAGCAAGGGCTGGGGACTCAAACTCACAATTTATACTGGCTACTGACCATCTCCAGAGAGGTCAGTAGCAAACCGTTCATGGAGCACGTTTTGATAGGAAATTTTTTCAGTCCAAGAATTTAGACCAGTTCTAATCACTAAAGCTCCATAAGCAATTATAAGGCCATGCTGTCCTCTACACCACTCTGGCAATGCAAAGGAGCCTTAAAATTGTTGTACCTGTTTTTATACTCCTGGGGAAATTCACTAAGAACAACGGGAACAATTCACTAAGCAGGCAGGCTGCTACATTCTGCTCTGGCTGAGGGAACAGAGCCTGCCCTATGCCTTTCAGAAACACCCCAAAGCCCTGCCCCTCCACGCCAAGTGTGCCGTAATAGCGAGCGAGAGGGTCTGTGTCTGTGTCTGTGTCGTGTGCGCGCACACACACAACTGTCCAGCCCCCTCACCCTGCGGTGATTTACATCCCTACCAGCTGCTCTGGGTGCCCAAACCGACCTGCCTGCACTGCTGGGGAGGGGGCACATGACTGCTCTTGCAGCTTCCCTTTGTTTCACTGTCAGAAGCCATTTTTCTGCAGGGAAGCAAAGAAATCTGTGGGGGTCATGAATTCTGCGCACACGCAGTGACACACAATTCCCCCAGGAGTATGGTTTGCTTTCCAAGTGGCACAAGCTGGGCCACTCCCTCTAGGGACTAAATGCTCCATTATCTCTCCTAATCCCGAGGCCGCTGGCTTCTGATGCCCTGACTTTGCTAAGTGGTCCCTGGCTTTAGTGGCTAGAGGCAGACCAATGGGGAAGTACAAGGACACCGTGAGACTACATTGGCCAGCATGATGGGCAGTCGTCTCTACGCACCAACTGCCTTGTTGTTAAGTTTTCTGACGTCTCTGCAAAGGAGAGTTTTGACAGACGATAACAAGGTGGCTTTGTGGGTGCTTGCGGAAGCTCCTCCCAAGAGCAAGGGGCAACACGGGAGAAAGCACAAAGTTGTTGGTTTGAAAATCTAGCAAGAGGGTGATGGAGGCTGACGTTGGCATTTTGATACTGAATGAGATGATAGGGTGGGGATGGGCCGTGGAGGTGAAGACGAGCCGCTTAGGTTTGATACTATGGAGATGAGGGAGCCAGTGGAGGGATCCAAAGAGACAGGTGTTGTGGTCAAAGTGATGGGCTAGGAGAATGATCTTCACAGCAGCATTCTGCCTGGGTATGAGCAGGGCAAGACTGCATTCGTCAAGGCCGGAGAGAAGGATGCTGCAGTAATCGAGATGACAGCCTGGAGGACAGTTCTAGCTGTGTGGATGGATGGGAAAGGCTGGATCTTAGAGATGTTTTGCAGAAATAATTGACAAGATTTAGACACTGCCTGGATGCGAGGACCTAGAGAGAGGTCTGAGTTGAAGATGCTGCCCAGGTTACAGGCTTGAGTGATGGGCAGGATGGTGGGATTGTCCACAGTGATCAGGGAGGGCTTGGGGGGAGATTAAGAGCTCTGGTTTAGCACTATTGCACCTGAGTTGATGGCTAGACATTTATCTGATTAGATATTGGGAAAAACTTTCCAACTGTGTAAGGGGAGTTCAGCACTGGAATAGGCTTCCATGGGAGGTTGTGGAATCACCATCACTGGAAGTTTTTAAGAGCAGGTTGGACAAACACCTGTCAGGGATGGTCTCGGTTTACTTGATCCTGCCTCAGTGCAGGGAGCGGGACTCGAAGGCCCTTCCAGACCAACCTTGCCATGATTCCATCCAGGAGCAGATTGTAATCTGGCCAGGTCTGGAGTGGAGGTAGATCTGTGAGTAACTAGCAGAAGAATGGTAGTTGAATTTGTGTTTGCAGATGAGATTAGCCGTTGACAGGGTGTAAAGGGAGAAGAGAAGGGGACCTTGGACAGAGCCCTGTGGAACCCCACAGGAAGTTGGAGCAGGATTTCTCTGAAAGACACGGAAGGAGCGATTGAGAGGTAGGAAGTCATGGAAGGACAAGATTTCAACAAGAGGATCATGGCGAAGGTGGCTGGTGGGTCAAGGAGGATGAGGATGGAGTGCTGGTTCTGAGCTCAGGCTAGGAAGAGGTCAGGAGAGACTCTGGCGAGAGAAGTTTCAGTGGAGTGTAAGAGGCAGAAGCCGGATTTGGGGGGGGGGTGTAGGGTGGAATTGGAAGAGAGGAACCCCAGACAGCGATACTAGACAGTGCATTCAATGAGCTTAGAAACTAAAGGGAGATGGGGCTGTAGTTGGACAGGCAAGTGGGATGATTTTTTTTAATGGGAGAAGCTAGAGCATGTTTGTATTGTGAGGGGAAGAGCCGGAGGAGAGTGGGCACGAGGGAGATCAGGAGATGGGATGAGGAGGAGAGCAGGACACTGTGTCTGATGGGGAAGAAGGAAGGAAGGAAGGTGTGGGAGGGAAGGGGAAGGAGAGGGGGAAGGTCGCATCCGTTTGTCAGTTTTCTCTTGGACGAATTTGGCGCGATCCTGGGCAGTGGGAGTGGCGGGGGAGGGAAGGTTTGAGTCAAAGGTGGTGAAATGCAGCTGGCATTGTGGGCGTGGGATTCAGTGTAGTCAGAGAAGTGGAGGAGTCCGTCTACATGGATGGCAGAACCAAAGGAGGAGAGAATGAATCCGCAGTGGAGGAAGTGGTGGGATTTCCATCAGTCAGAGACGCTCTGCAGTCGATATTGGGGGTGAGCCAGGCCTGAGGGTTGGCGGGACAGACCTGGGGATAGAGAGGAGGGAAGAGAATCATGGGTGGAGGAGAGTGGAGGCGTGGACAGAATCAGCTACTGCATGAATGTAAGAAAGGGAGGGGAGGGCTTAGAGCAGGTGAGACGTCATCAACACTGCAGGGCTGGAAGGCACAGGAAGGCCACGAGACAGGACGTGAGGGAGGGGGCTGATGGATGGTGCTGAGAGAGACCAGGTGATGCAGGAGCTCAGCTACAGAGAGATCCGGGAGAGCAGGTTGGTGAGAGAGAGATTAAAAAGACTAGATGAAGTTGGACTGGGATTTTTCAGCTTGGAAAAGAGACAACTAAGGCAGGTATGAGACAGTTTAATAAAATCATGACTGATGTGGAGAAAGTGACTAAGGAAGTGTTATTAGCCCCTTCCCAATGAAATGAATAGGCAGCAGGTTTAAAACAAAGAAAAGGAAGTATTTCTTCACACAACGCACAGTCAGCCTGTGGAACTCACTGCCTGGGGATGTTGTGAAGGCCAAAAGTATAACGGGGTTCAAAAAAGAACTAGATGCGTTCATGGAGGATAGGTCCCTCAGTGGCTATTAGCCAAGATGGCCAGGGATGCAATCCCATGCTCTGGGTGTCCCTAAACCTCTGACTGGCAGAAGCTGGGAGTGGACAACGGGATGGATCACTCGATTGCCCAGTTCTGTTCAGTCCCTCTGGGGCACCTGGCATTGGCCACAGTCGGACGACTGGATACAGGTTTAGACGGACCATTGGTCTGACCCAGTCTGGCTGCTCTTATGTTAAGTGAACAGCCCGTGGGCAAGTGGGAGAGCTGAGGCAGGGCTGCAGGTGGAATGAAGAGATCAGGGCGAGGAAATGCGCATAAAGCGGGGTGTTGTCAGCATGGGAGTGAAAGGCCCAGAGGATGAGTGTGGGAGACTGAGGGGAGGAAGTGAGAGCGCCAGGGGGTGAAATCCAAGAGCAAGGCAGATGGGGAGGAGCTGGGGGGGATGGTAGATGAGGACAAGGTGGAGTTAGGAGAGGGAGAGTTGGATGCAGGATTGCAGGGAGGGGCTGGAAGCATTGATTACTGGTAGCTGGCTTGGCTCAGGGAGGCTGTTTCGGCAGCTTAACTTGCTCTCCATTGGAACTACCAACAAACCCGGCCTGCTGGAGGGAGAGGGAGAGGGACACACTCACACACACTCTCTCTCTCTCTCTCCACTCAGCTCTGGGCTACCCCCTGCTGCTGGTGGTTGCCTCACCTGACCCCACACTTGATCCACAGGGCTCTAGACCTGCAGGTATAATCAGCCTGTCTCACCATCCTTTCAGGTCCACCTCTTCGATGTCTCCGCGACGCCTGTGCCAGGGCATCACCAAGGCCGGGCAGCCATGCAGGAAGAAGGCCGTTCCCGGACAGGAGTTTTGCCACGTTCACGTATCTGGACAAGTATCCTACACCAGCTGAGCCTTGGGGCTCTCGGTCTAACCTGGGCAGCCGCTAGGTTAGTCTGGACCTTGGGTGGCTGGCCAGGAACCTGTGAACTCCTGGAGTGCAGCTGGGGCCCCACCCCCACATCTCAGCAACAGCCATTCTGTGGCATTATTTTAAACACTGCCTTTGATTTTAATGTGTACGTTTGAATGGAGGGACTACGGCTGCTGAGGGCTGGCAGCCCCTGCCTGGCAGCTTTTCTAGGGTCTCGTGGGGCTTCTTTGAGGAAAGCCCCATTTTAAATAGACCACCCTGCTCTGTGAATGTTCCAGCCTGTCTCAAATGCTTCAGCTCCTGGCGAAAGTTGGGGATCCCATGAAAACTGCAGGAGATGAGGCGCCTCTACGTTCACACTGACTCAGGAGCCGGTGGACTCTGTTTACAAATCCAGCTGGCTTGTCCAGTGGCCACAGCTGCCCAGCTCCAGCTGGGTGGTTCTGGCCTGCTCCACCTCTGCCAGCCATTGAGACGCTCATCCGGGCTCAGCTGAGCTGGTAGAACAGACTCCAGCTCCCTCAGCGCCATTGGGACAAACCTCTTGTCAGTAGAGATGCCTGGGGTAAGAAGGTGCCATGTTGGTAGCCAAGTTTTATATGAAAATCTGCTGTTTGCACATTGGTTTAATAAACAACATTTATCTACTGCTGGGATTTCTGTGTCTGTCTCAAAAGAAACCTGAGAATTCCTGGGCTGTGGACAGGGGCTCCAACCTCTGGCTAAATGGGGATGGGGTTGTATTAATTTAGATGGAATAAAAGTGTTAAGACCCTGACTGTCCAACATTAAACAGTATTAACCAAGGTGTGGGGTTTGGTATAAATATATGGAGACATACCTATCTCATAGAACTGGAAGGGACTCTGAAAGGTTATTGAGTCCAGCCCCTGCCTTCACTAGCAGGACCAAGTACTGATTTTTGCCCCAGATCCCTAAGTGGCCCCCTCAAGGGCTGAACTCACAACCCTGGGTTTAGCAGGCCAATGCTCAAATGACTGAGCTATCCCTCCCCCCTCTTGAAGCTACAGTTGTTTTTTTTCTCCTCTTCTGTCTGTCAGTGGTTAGCTTCCTCTTGACTATTTCTCTGCCCCCCCCCCAAAGTATTTTCTTTTAAGGGCCCCAAAAGGGAGTGATGGGTGGAATAGCCCATCCCCTCGTGATTTTGTTTGCCAATTAGGCCTATTTCCAACACAAATTTAGTCCATTGATTTTTTTGGCCACTGCCCCTTGTTTATCTGCCATGATCTTAACACAGTCCTCCAGTCACAGCAGTAGACTCTACTGCAATGGTTCCCAAACTTTAACAACCTGTGAACCCCTTTCACGAAAATGTCAAGTCTCGCGAACCCCCTCCTAAAAATGGATATTTCCAGGGATTTTCTCCTTTACCTGAGTATAAATTATAAAAGCAGTGATCTTGGAAATATAACATTTGTTTTTATGACATGCTTATTACACACTATTTATTATTAATTATTATTTATCATTACAGTATTTTTATTACGTTATGAAAATGGCAACACTCTTCCAAGATTGCACTTTCGTAGCTTGTATCACTTTGAATAAGCCTATTATAAGACAAGGCTCCTATGTTTCATCAAGGAGTATCAGATGTGAAACAAGCATGAAGGTATTTAAGAAGCCAATTTAAAGAGTTCCTCCTACACAAGCATTCAGGTCTTGAGCAGTCCAGGCAAACAACGCACGTTACAACAAAGCTTAAACTTGTTCTTCACAATTTTAAAAACAATACTAGCTGCCTATTTAATTTTAAAAACAGCAAAAAATATCCACCTCCCTTTCCATTTCTTATGAGTCTTAAAGTTTAAATCTCCTCAGTGTGATAGATAGGCTTACTTTGATCTGCTTAGCTCTTGGAAGTCCAGGGGCTCTGGGCTGCTGGCCCCATGGTGCCTGGGGTTCCTAGGGACAGCTCTGTCTGCCATTAGGGAATTTTTTCCCGAGAACCCCCTGTAACATTTTGCGAACCCCCAGGGGTTCACGAACCCCAGTTTGGGAACCACTGCTCTACTGGTTTAAATTAATTCCATGTCTCCTTAAATATTTTTTTTCCTCAAACAATTTATATGACAGGCCATTAGGACAATCCATGAACCTTTACCCACTGGGCCAGTTCTAAATTAGTCGGCCTGGCTAGACCTCATTTACTGCACCAGGGGGGTAGTAGGAAACCTGACCTGGGGGGGGGGAGGGAAACTGAGGCTTGTGGCTGTTTCCTATCCCACCTTCCTCCCTCTTTTCCCAGGCTCTGTGCCCTGTTCCAATGTGCTGGCACTTCGGCTAGTTGAAAGTAAGGGTGATGCTGGCCCGTGGGTGGTAGGAGAACAGGGCTGCAGAGCTCTGGGGTGACCCCTATCTCCAGTCAAACAGCAGTGAAGCACGTGGGCTGGGAAGATGCTAGCTCGCCCTGAGAACAGGAACAGTCAGCAATGCTAACGCTGGGCTATGGGACCTCCTGTTCCCTCAACAGGCAGCTGTTCAGATTCTCTAGCCCAGCATTTCTCAAAGGCAGCCACTAGCTGATTTTTTTGTGTGTGTGCGGGCGTCCGTCCGACCACGACATCTCTAAAGCGTGGTTGGAGATTGGGGGAGGGGCAAAGCCCCTCGCTGCAGCACACAGCTGTTCCCAAGAGCAGTGAGAGATGCGCTGCCTTAGCATTTGCGTTGGCAGCACCAGCAGGGATCAGCTGCTGGAGCCTTGTAGGGCTGGCCTGCCTGGGGCCAGAGGCGGTTCTTATCAGCGGAGGCAGCTGCAGCAGTCGGTTGCTGGGGCATTCCCCTGGGCAGCTCCACTGCTCCCACCCGGCCAGGGAACAGGGTGCCTGGGACCCCACAAGTGGCCAGTGAGTTCCTGACCCCCCTAGGGCAGGCTCACGACAAAGGGCTACGGGAGCCAGGGACAGAGAGGGGTTTGTCAGAATGGCCACCAGGAAGAGCGGGTGGCTGCACTGAGGTCCCCAGAAACATTTGTGAGAAAACTAAAGTTGGGCCCAGGCCAGGCTAGCTCCTGAGTGACCCAGGCAAACATCCCTGCAGAGACTGAACTAAAAGGCAGGGATGGAAGGGGATTTTCCTTGCTCGCTGTGTGTACAGCTTGGGCCAGTGCAGGGATAACAGCAAACCAACGGGCCACTGCTGTTCCTTGCAAAGGGGAGGGAGGGCAGCCCCAGCATCTGAGCCTCCCTGTTGACACATCACCGTGCTGTCAAATATGCTTTGTGCTGAGAGCCGCTGGAAGAACCCAGGGGTGGGAGTGTCTCTACTGCTAAACTTACTGGTGCCTTGGTTTAATGCCGGCCTGCTCCAAAGGCAACGCTCATTGCTAAAAGAGGTGTATATCGTTTCAACACCCCACCCCAACAAAAAGCCTGTCTGTACCTAGGTGTTGGAACACAGTCCATGAATTGCTGGTGCAGACAGAAAGGCTGTAACAGTGGCTGGAGAGTGAATGTTTCACAGTTTAAGAGCTACACAGCTGGGCCTGTTCCCTTTCTGAAAGAGGCCCTGGGGAAATACTTTTGGGGAAAGTAGTTGGCCTAGGAGAATGGAACATAGGCACACCTCAAGCCAGCCCTTGTGCAGCTGCAGACATTCATGGTAGATTGTGGTGGCATCTCCCAGGAAAGCTTCCTGTGCAAGTCTAGGGGACTGCACGTTCTCACAGGGTAGGTGATGGGAGCATCTTCACAGTGGATGGTTAGCAACAAGACTAAATAACGCAGCAGCTGTAATAGATCTTGTCCTCTCTCTCATTGCTCTGCTGGACAGCACTGGAAGCTCCATCACCTGATTTAAAATAAGACAAAGCACCAGAAGCTTTTGGGGACAAGTCCACACTGATCCAGAGGGATACCCTAGAACCTTCCACTTGACTTCTTCCAAACATCTGTGACAATAGTAGTTACAGGGGCATGGATGGGCACCTGCTTTGGCTACAAACCTTATCTCCCCCACCCTGATGTTGTAACCCTAGGGGAGAAGGCAAGATTTCTGATGTTAATGAACAGCCATCACTGCTGAGCAGCACCAGCCCCTGGCAACGAGAGAGGGAGTGTCCCGGGAACGCGACATACAGCTGGGCTACCCATGCTCCGGTTCAGGATTAACACTCTGCATCTTGTTTTTACAAGAGCATAAACACAAGGGAAAAAATCAGCGTTGATTTATTCTGAATCTAATTACAGACTGCTCTACACATGATTGGCAGCCTCACCAATTACAGCATAACATGAGGTGACATCAGCATGGGCAAGGTAAAGGGATCCAGCGAGAACAGTGATGAGGTTGGATGGAGAAGGGGCTCTGTCTGTTTTAAAAAATATTCATTAGATGATGCCAAGGCAGCATGTAAACTTCCAGGTACCTCAGCCTGCAGGTCCAACCCTCCAGCCTCTCCCAGGGCAGTGTCTTTGGGGGAAGCCCAAGAGGGTTCTCACTAGGCAAGACTTCCCTTACAAAACTCCTTTTGACCTAAGCTAGATCTGAACCTGAGGGGCTCTTCAGGCTGCAGTTCCTGGGATATTTATAACCACAGGGAGGAATGTTGGAAGCATTGGGGGGGATGCCTCAGTCTTTGCATTTTTGAACCTTTTAACAAAGATTCACTTTGATCCCTGAACAGAGAGTTTCTCCCCATTCCACCCCACGAAGTTCTACACCCCTGGCTGGCTGAGATGACTAGTAGTGTGTGTCCCGTGTCACAGAGAAAGACAATATCTCCACCCCTAATGCTACACATTTCTCACTCATGTTTGCTGAGCTTATCAGTGATTTGGCCGTTCAGGATCTCTCTGCCCCCCAATTCCATTCCCCACCCCACTCTCAAATTCTACTTTGGAAAAGCTGTATCTCCAGCATCATTTCACAGCCCCAAACGCCCTCACGCGTCCCCTCCTCTGCTCCAGCAAAGGAAAACCCTGAGTCTCAGAGGAACCTCCAAGGCAGTGTTGGCCGATAATCACAACGGCTTTGGTGTGCTGGTCACTTCCGGGCGATGTCGTAGTGCACGTTGAACCAGTCGCAAGTTTCCTTCACAGCTGGAGGGGAAGGGGGAAGACAATTAGACCCCCATACAGCCCGAAGCATCACAACCAGCGGCGGCTCCCTCCCTCCAGTTAACGCTGTGCCACTGGCCACTGCTTACTGAGCCAGGAGGAGTGGAAGAATCATTGTCGCCGTGCCAGAGGAGGAGGAAATGGACCAGGGAGATGAAGTGACCCCATCTAAAGTCTCAGAGCTGGGAACGGACCGCACAAATCCGAGCCCCCAGGCCAGTGCTTCAATCACTGCACCGTCCTGCCCCTACAACCAGAGCCACTGACTCTGCTCACAGGGGTTTCTCACAGCATCTCTTTAAACACTCGCTGCCTTTGCGTTCTTGGTGCATGCACCACGGTGATGCCAGAGGCTGTGGGACCAAGTTCCCAGCACCCGCGGGAGGGAGAAGTCCTTCCCCACAAATCCTACCTGACTCCTTTGGAGGGCAGAGGTGAGATCAGACATACGCAGCTGATGCAGTGCAGTGGATGTTCCCACCGAGGGGCAGGAGAGCTAGAGCGACTCC